TTCGGAGTGACAAAGCCCGGAGTCCGAAGCCGCAACCGCGTCGACGTAGCGAAAGATGCCTGTAACGGATGGGGTGCTGAGCCACAGATGACCATCGGACGGCGCCGACGCCCAGCTTGAGGGCAACGCGAGTACAGAAACCGAAAGCGGCACCACAGTCCAAACTCCAGCGAGCAAGGCGGAGCCATCAAGGGCGAAACGCTGCAATCCTGAGTTGGGCCAAGCCCGATTTCTGGTCGTCGCAGGGCCCGGTTTCTCGTCAAATTAGGCAGCAGATCGAAGAGGATTGGGCGCTTGGCTCTGCCCTCCCTGCTGGGGAACAGCGATGAGTGCGCGAAAAAGCCGTCGGCGCGACAAGTAAGGTGAGATGTAGTACACGGATAATAGCGTCCGATCGCGCGTCCTGCTTGTCTCTCTTCGGTGCACACCGAGTGCTGCTGGCAGCGTTTAACGCCGCTGCAAACCCGTCCTGCGCCAATCGCGCCGTGGTAAGAGAGAGCGAGATGGCTGCAACGCAAAGGGCAGAGGCGCCACGTCGCGACTCGACAATAGCGTCCCGCCCGTCTTCGACGCCGAAAAACCGGCGTCAAACAAGTTAAGAGAACGGCACCATTTCCGGGCCGCGCTTGCTGGCCAGTCCTGCAGTCTCCAATGCAGACGAGTCCCGCTTCAAAGTCTCCGCTGCGCTGCTTCGGCCTTGTCAACCAAGGCAGACGAAGCAAGGTCCCTCCTGTTTGGCGTGGCTCTCCTTCCCGGGCACCGGCTGCGCCGCTGAGCAGCGTAGGAGCGAACGCTCCTACGCTCAGCGTTGGCAGTGCCAACTTGGCATAGCAGCGGCGAACAAGCACCGGCATGGCATGATTCGTGCCAGTGAATTCATAGTGTTGGTTGGTGTAAACCGAGGGAATGCACTTGTCTCCGAGATCTGAAAAGCGATGACATCGGATGTGTGGTCAGCGAGGTTCTTCTGCGTGTTTGGCAAACACTGTTTGCCGAGCGGGAATCAGCCGCGTCGGTGTGGACACTGTCCACTGGACAGCAGGGCCTGATCGAGCCACCGGCACCGGCAAGCACTGGCGATTCCGGTGCTTGCCGCATGCCCCTTGCGTGAAATTACTCCCTGGTCGATCCATTCTGACGTTGCGTAACGAGGACTTACACAGCGACTTCCCTAGCTGCCTTGCTTTACGGTACCGTTTAATCGAGTGTTTCTCGACTATGTCGATGCTGCTGCAAAGCCGTATTCCTCACTTGATGCCATTGCCGCTTCTGTCGCTAGAGAACTGAGCGTGACAGGCTGCCAGCGTGTTCACTACATGCACACGGTAGCAAGTGATATATCGGATCCGCTAACTAGCATCATATCATATTGTAGTCTCGGAGCTGGCTCGTCAACCCGGCACTGATGTTGAAGCAAATGCAAATGAGTCAGGCACTGCGCGCTGCCACTGACCGACTGTTGATAC